TCGGCCGGCCTCCAGCTCCCGCCGCGCCGCGCCGCACCGCCCTCGGGGCGGGGCCTTCCCTCAGCAAGGCCCCGCCCCCGCCACACGCAAGGGCCGCGCGGCGCTAGGCCGCACCCCCCCACCAGCTCTGTGAGAGACGTGGGCAGTTGGGCCGGCTTCTCCATCCATCCCCTTCCTGAGGAACAGGGGTTTCATTTGACACCGCCACAGACACCTGTGGGAGCCCCCCGCTCCCCGCCATCATGCCACCAACACCGCCTGCAGGCAGGCAAGGCGCCGTGCCCCCAACCTCCCGGGGCACGCCGCGTTCAGGATCCGAGAGGACGGTCCGGTTGTCCTCCATCCTCTGCTGATACGAAACCAGACACATTGATGTCCTCTGTTTTCTCCTCCGGAGCCACTTGGGAGTCACCCTTTCGTTTCGTTTTCAGCGTTAAGGAACAAGAGTGACGTTTGGATGTGAAATTCGGTGTGGAAAGGTCCCGGGCAGACATTAGGGTGGCCGTCATCAAAGACAGTCTGGTTGTCCTCGGTCCTCTAGTGAGACGAAACCGGACGCCTTCACATCCTCTGTTTTCTCCTTGAGAGTCTCAGTCCTCTAGTGATACGAAACCAGACACCTTCATGTCCTCTGTTTTCTCCTCCAGAGCCACTTGAGAGTCATCCTTTCATTTCGTTTTCAGCGTTAAGCAACGAGAGTGACGTTTGGATGTGAAATTCGGTGTGGGAAGGTCCCGGGCAGACATTAGGGTGGCCGTCGTCAGAGACAGTCTGGTTGTCCTCAGTCCTCTAGTGAGACGAAACCGGACGCCTTCATGTCCTCTGTTTTTCACTTCATGTCCTCTATTTTCCTCTTCAAGAGAAAAGCATAGGGCATCAAGGCGTCTGGTTTCATGTCTTTAAAGGACAGAGCAGCAGAAAACCAGACCGTTGTCTGTGATGGCCGCCCTACCCAAGACCCAGCTTCCAAAATTTAACCTCAATCGTCAAGTCTCTACGATGGCCTCCCTCCCTCCCAGAGCCATCGGATATTCCCCGAGTCCAGGCAGGCGTCGGACATGCACGTAGGGTTGCCCCCAGAGTCTCCAATTAGAGATAAATCATCAGGAGATGCCCGAGAGGTGCCCAGGAGATAAACGATAGGGTGTGAATGAAAGTAAATATTAAACATTGAATCTGCTGTAATACAGCAGGCCAGTGGGCTTTGAAAATGTAACAGTCACGTGCGTTTGCTTTCCTTACGCAAAGTCTACGCACCGTAACCTGTAACCGATATATGCAAGCGCACAGGCACGTTCACGTGCCATGTCGCGGGCGAGCTGGCCTTCCAGAAACCTCCCGAAATAAATTTAAACCAAGTTGGCAATGCCACGTGCAAGCCCCAAGCTCGGAGGGCATGGGGTTCAGATGCTCCTTGCCTTGCCTGATCTGAAACGGACAGCCGAGAAGCGTACGCGTGTCTGGGATGAAGGCCCACGTGTCTTAGCTTTGGGAAGTCGAAGCCAACAGCAGCTCTACCCCTTTCCGTGGGGATCCCACAAGCGCTCGCACTGGGTGTGTTTGGCCCCGCAAAACGTAGCGGGACTGAGCTCCACATCAAAATCAAGTCGCTGATCCCCAAGTTCATCTCTTTTAATTCTGAGGTCATGATTTTTAATTGTGCCTTGTCTACAGCCGGCTCCTGGGGCTGGAGCGCTGCAGGGAGGCGCAGTAGCAGCAGAGACAGTTTGCCTGGGCTTTAGTAGACAGGGAAGATGGACCCAGCAAATGGCAATTGTTGAGGTCTTAGTCCTCTACATAGATGCAGGCTGGCATCCTGGACATTGCTGCTGTCTGCTGCTGTCCCAGCTCTATGCAGAGGGCTGAGAACGTAAGAATCGCCATTTACTGGGTCAGACCATAGATCCGTCTTGCCGAATTTCGTGCGTCACGCAGCGGCTGAGAGCGGATGCTGGAAGAGAGAGTGAACTGGGTATGACCTGGTTCCCTCCATCACTGTTCCTCTCCCACTTGCAACCTCCAGCATTTAAGGTCTATAATTCAAATGCTGCAGCCCCGACTCCTGTGCTCAACAGCTACTGCTGACCTTTCCTCCAAGAATGCATCTAATGCCTTTTTTAATCTAGCTAAACTGTCCACTTCCACAACACCTGGTAGCAAGGAGTTCCCAAATGCACTGCTCCATCACCCCCCGCAATAAAGCCATCAAAAGGGTGGAGAGTAACAACTCCCACCCTCAACAAAAATAATTTAGTGACTGCATTTATTTTTTCAGCAGTCATCCCACCCTTTTACCATACTCCTCTCTTTCATTATTCAGGTCTGTCGTGAATTTACGTTATTATGCTATTAATGGGTCTCTGTTTAAAGTTAAGATGCATTTCATAGAAACAAGCTAGTTAGCATTGGTGTTAGCCCAAATTGAGGCATTTATTTTGTAACGCTAGCTTGCATTTTTCTTCCTTGGGAAAATGATTAACCGAGGAAGTGGATAAAATGCCATTAGCAAGATCTCTAAGTTAAACGGGATAGCAAAGGCAAAAAACTGCTTACCCTTTCCTTGCCTTCTAGTGCAGCTGTCACGTCCATGATACTGCAGAAATGTGATTGCGAGCTACGGGGCGTGAGCCGAGAGATATTACATAGTAAACTCTACACTGACCTGCCCTCCCCACACAGCTTTTCTTAGAAGCACTTCCTAGCTGGCAACACTGAAAACCTTAGCTGAAAGGCCAGAAGCAGATGCAATGGCTGAAAAAGATCCCTCCCCCCCCACCATTTTTTTTTGTGCACAGCCTATGGGTGCTGTGTGCATATCATAAGTACATCCTAAAGCAAGAGGAACGGCTTTTTGTGTCTGTGATTCTACCACTGTTGTTCGGGGAAACTGATAGCAGTTGACTTTGGGGAGACGCGAGACGATGAAGTCATGCTCTGACACCAACAGCTCGGCTTTCAAACAAAGACCTATATGCCGCTAGCCTCAAGGCTCAAAAACCAAAAGGCTGAATGATTCTTTTATTTTTTAAACATGCCCATTTTGAAGCTAATCTCATGTTTCTGTGGAGTCCAACTTGTGAGATTTGAGCTGCAGCTGGCAATACAGCAACTGTAATTAGAGAGGTATAATCTTCAGTTGCCCGTGTGTGATTTTTGCAAGTGATGGGCTCAGTCCTGTTATGTATCGAGCACCCATAACCAACATGGTAAAATCCTGCTCTGCTGCAGTCAATGCTTTGCAATAGGATTAAAGTAAGGCCAGGATTTCACCTTGCAACTACAATGAGTGCAAAAGGGCATATTGCAGCTTGCAGAATCCAATACCAAAAACAGATCCCAAATACCGCAGTGTCTGCTAGTGAGATCTTCCTCCACTAGATGTCCTCAAAGAGAAGACGTGATTAGAAGTACAGTACTGTAATGAACAGCTTCCAAGTCAATAACACTTCACCATCATTATAAAATCGCTGAATAAGTCACATGTGCCTGGGTCATCAAGTCCAACCCCCTGCTACTGCAGGCCACCATGCAACAATTCTTCACAAGCTGTTCTAATGTCCTTTAAAAAAAAAATAGGTAGGTTTTTGTGCTTTCAGGGTAATACAAAATATGCCATTGGCAATAATGCCGAGCAATAACAGTAAGATAACATGTAAACAGTTTATCTACCTAAGAGGTAACAAGATGTGGGGCTAGTTGAGAGCTGAAAGCCCCTGGCCACTTTAGGTCTGTTGTCAATTTTTGTCTCACGGGAGACATTTGGAAGACATGCAAGAAGGATATTTATATAGAGGTAGACACCCTTTACTTAATCTCAGGCTTTGTTCCCCCGAGGGAAAAATAGTTCAAAAGGTTGCTACCTTCATTATCATCCCATCCAAACACCAAATTAACAGCAGCTCAAAAAAGGAATGGTGTCCAAGGAGCACTTGATAGCATCTCTCATTAAAGATGGCGACATTTAAAGGGGATCAAAATAAAGGAGGAAAAAAAAAAATCCCTGCTGCCCTTGAGACAAGAAAACATGGAAAACAGAGTCACAGGGTGAGGCAATATGACATAACACATGTTCTCATCTCAATTGGCAGAGCAGCCAGGGTAACACCCGGACTGGGCGTTGCAATGTGCTGAAAACATGGCATGATGTAAGACGCTGTACATACAGTGCGTGCGGCAGTACATCTGCACAACAGGTGAGCTAACAAAAACAAAAACATTTGTCAAATAATTAGCACTTCTGGTGTGCAGTCTTCTCATCTTCAAAGCACTTTAAAGCCATTAAAGTAATTCATCTTCACAACACCTCTACAACTGGTGGCACTATAAATAACAACTCCAGTTACAAGTACTGAAAGCCAAGTGGGGAAGTTACAATATACAATTCATTCAAGGGAACAAGGAAACCTGTTACAGCTAGGTTTGGGCACTCCTTGCTCCAAAGTGCAAGTAGTCAGGCTGTATCTCTCCGTGTTTGGTAGTGAAAACCAATCGGGAAAGTAAAGCACAGTTTTACTTACTTCATTTACTAAATATTTTTACCATACAGACTAGCATAGAAATGAAAGATGGAAGAAGCAACTTTAGTTACCCATGCTAAGCTCAGCAGCCTGTGAAGGATAATTCCCTATAACTGATATGAAGACACTCAACAAAACGTAAAAGATTTTTTTTAATGCGACAAATCAAATATTTTCCTTTTACTCTCACTCTTCTAAAGGCTGAACAGTTCTGGCCAAAACTAATGCAGCCTAATGACATCAAACACAGAAAATTTCAGTCTGATCAGGAGACAGCTGCCAAAGTTATAAGCAACTGAAAGTAGTCTTATCATGGGAAAGGCTGGAAAACCTTAAGTTTTGTGCATATGATTTGGTTTGTTTGTTTTTTTGTTTTGTTTTGTTTTTTTGGGGGGAGGGAGGGTTGTGCTCTGTCCAGACCAATTTTCAGATATTTCAGAAATAAGGTTTTCCACTTCTACTGCAACTCCTTTTAAGCCGACAGCCTGGTCTTTAACAGTAAAACCAAAGGAGTAATTTAAGTAACTTTATTAATCTTAATACTTAGCAAATTGACAACAAAGTACAGAGCAGACAGCAATTAGCTCCAAATTTATAATCTGAAATCACATGAATAGCTTTACGATTTTTTCCGCTATCACTCAAAACAGTGCAGTACAAATACTCTAGTTTTAAAATACATGCTGCTTGAAAGTAATACATAAACTCAGAGCATTGACTGTTCCCAGTTTCATTCTGTTCTATGCATGTTGTTATATCATCCTCCTCATCACCGTATCAGAGTGCCTTCCACAAATGCATTAGCAAACATGTCTGCTATACATTGTGCCCCCCCCCCCCCTCATCTTTTTGTTACAGGTAAAGATTTGTGTGTTCAGTCCAGCATTTAGTTATGGTAGGGTTTTGTTTTTGTTAGATGCAGCCCCTGCCATCCATCCGACATTTGAGAAGCAGGTGGCTCCATGAAACATCTTGCATTTACAGTGGAATGTGGCCAGGTTTGTCTCAGTTATTTTCTGCAGGAGTTTCTTTCACACTCTTGAACTGACTCTGAAATAACTTCCATTCTCCTGCATAATGGGCCATTTTGTCATAAATATGAATCATCATCTTTGCAGGAGATGGAGCCTATCAGCCACAGGGGTACATTCTGGACTCAGACTTCAGTGATCTCTTCAATACACAGGGCCTAGGCCACTAAGCACTTTGAAGATAAGGGCCAACACCTTCTGCGTGACTCAATAACAAGTGGAAAATCAGTGTAGGGCTGCAAGACAAGTTTGACATGCTCTCAATATCCACCCCGCATTGCTGAGGAGTCTTGAGATACATTCTTTACTACCTGAAGTTTCCTAAGGACAGAATGCTTCGTATCCAGGTATACTGGTTTCCATGAGTCAAAAGCAACTACAGCGCTTATAATCAGTGCTTATACCAGATGAGACTGCTCCATATTCAATTAGCTAACAGACTCTAACACAAGTGTTATTATGTGGATGCTGCTATGCAAGAGACTTCAGCATTCACAAGAAATCCAGGAAGATTGTGCTGGCTCCATGCTACCGCTTCAGTAAGAGAAGTTGGTAGTTGGGCTATGGCCAGCTTCTCCATCAGCTTCCCAAGGAATGGGAGGTTTGACACCAAGTCGAACTTATGCATCTCGGAAGTGCCTTCAGTTTTGGTCATACCGTAGGTTTTAAGAGAGAAGTGCAAAAATTCCTTTTCTGAGTGAGACACTGACCAGTCAGAAAGGGCATGTGTTTTTATTGGATCTTTCACACGTGCTGGCTTGAAAATCCTTTAAATGAGCAATTGTAAAGCTCTTCGGGAATACAGGCAGGCTGTTTATCAATCAATACATGAGGTGCTTGCATCTATGTCACCTGAGAAGCCTTTTGGACTGTGAATAATCTTTTCACAGCAAAGTAGGGAAATGGTTGTTCTTTTTGGGGTGGTTTTTTTTTGGGGGGGGTGGGGTAGGGATTGTGTGCACACAGTACCCAAGTACTGGAGGCCTACTAATCAACAGAACTCAGGAACAAGGAACAGTTTAACACCCTGGAGAGCTCCCTAATGCAGAATTGGGCAGTGTCAATGGTGGCTAAGAGTAGTTCCCTTGGTCCGCAATACAGCATCATCATGAGCTTGGGCGAACAATTCTTCACTTCAGCCTTCAGTTTCCAGTATTGTAACTCAAGTTGTTGAACATCAGATTCAGCATTAAAAAACGTGACCATTTGAACTCACAGTTGGCTTTTTTTGGCATGTATTTACATTAGCAGGTATAAAGCAGTTGACTGTTTGTAGGCGATATAAGCAGAAGGCTTGAGATCACAAGCAAATTGACACTCATTTGCTAACACAGTTCACTGAACTCAATTCATTACATGTTGATTTACTCATGTGAGTGAAGAAAGTACTTCAAGCTGCACTAAATTTTCAGGCTGTCAAGTTTTTTCTGTAGTGTACCAGCAACTCTGGACACTCAATAGCACATATGGAAGTGTTCCTTCCCCTGACAAGCTGTGGATGGACATTTCTTTCATTTGCTTGTTGCATAATGTATGTAATGTTCATTGAACACATAAGGAATTGCTGAAAGTTGTATTCGACCCTTGCATTATCAAGTAGGCAACTCAGCAAGAGGAATGTATGGAAACGGTTGTGGTTTTAGCCAAAATTAATATGAAGGGTTTTAAAAAGAGGAAATATAAAGTAATTGAATTTCCCTTTTCAGGATGGTTAGTGGCACAATTGTGGCATTTTTTTTTTAAATAAAAGTCTTAAAATTGCAGTGAGCCATATTGCAAATATTTTACTTCCATTGGTGAGCATTTACCCTGCTAATTCCCCTGACTGTAAGTCATTAGGCAATATACACAGAACATAAATCACACAGTTGAAACACTAGTTGGGATTACTAAGTAACAAAACAGAAAACACTTACAGAAGAAAAAGGTCAAAAGCAGTAAAACAGGCATTGTTTTCAGAGGCAAACGGTGGGGAGGGGACTTAATAGACCTCAAGGAAACACAAAAAAATGGTTGCATCTAATTACCAACCAGGGGAC